TGCTGTCCGACTTAGTGAAGGAGTAGACGTCGTGCTTCGTTTTTTTTTGGTTGACACTATACCAAAGTTCTGGGCAATACACTAAACTGCATGATGGCATCCTTCCACCTGACTTCTATGCTGTTCCTTTCAGAAATCTTCCACGGCGACGTATCTGATGCTATAATCACCTGCATACCGGGAAAACACCAGTCCCAGTGTGACAGTGAAAGTATATCCTGTATCGTTTCTACATATGTTTAATACTTTTACTCTGGATATAGTTACAGTATATATAAATACATATTAAAGTCTATTTATTATCATTGCTTGGGTGTTTCTATTCATTGTGGAGTTTGGTGGTGGTGGTAAAATAAATAATATTTTGTAGATAAATATGCAACCTGTCTTCCATTAGAGACACGTTATCAAATAAATATAAGGTTTAAATTCAACATACAACTCTTGTTATACCCAAATTACACATTCTGACAGCAAAAAGATGTTGAACATTTTACTGTTAAACGAACAAATTCAGTTTTCTGCAAAAGGCTGAAACCTTTCTGTTGTATTAACAGTTTTGAGTTTCATATCGGAGTACGGATACATTGGTCAGTCAGGTTCTGTGGTTAGCGTTAAGTTATCCCGATGCTTTTTTAAGCTTAACTAAATGTTAAAAGATGTTTTTTCAAAGGAAAAGAAGCACTTGTGAACATTTTCCCGCCTGAAACTGAAAGTACGAATAGTGGTCTGAGACCTGAGGACTCAATGAAGCTGAATTTAAGGTCAGTTAAAGGTATTTTGTTTGTTTAAGGTATATTTGTTTAAGGTTTTCTGTTGCTAAGACTGTCTTCAGTTTTCTTTTTTTTTGTCTGTGGTTTGCATAAATTGTTGTCTTTTATACATTGAGTGTGGATTTTAATTTATTACATATCCAGTAAAAAAGATGTGCTCAGTAATGACTTTATTTCGGCTATGTTTTATGTTTTAGTGACTCACTATGTGGTTTCTTTCAGCTTTAACCAGTGGCCATGCAGTACAGCGACACTCTGTGGCCGTTTGGTGTAACTACAGCAGAAAAAAGGAAGCGTTTCTTCAGTTTTTCCTCCTTTAAAGCAGAATATAAAGGGAGTAAATGCCACTTTTAGAGCACAGACATGCACATGCTGCCTTCAAATGTTCAGTAGACGGAGGGACGGGGGAGAAGAGAAGGAGGAGAGGGAGGAGAAGAAGGAAAAACAATAATTAAATGAATAATACATTAAATGTTTATATCACTTTAAAAGAAACTCAAAGAGGCTTTACAAGAAAAAGTCCTGCTAAAATATAATGCCCAGGTGTGTGTATCAGGGTATTCAGAGGTTAACAAAGAGTGGACAACGATAATGAAGCAGTTCATTAAGCTGCTGTTCAGACTTTGGACCAGCAGGAGGCACCAGAGAGAGGAGGCCTTTTTCCATCCAGGCTGCAAGATTCACAAAGCTTCATTTCTGTAGTTCACAGTAACTCAAAGCAGAGCAGAAACGTTTCACTGGGACTCAAAGAAGTTCAAAATGAGCTGAAGAGCATTTTAGTCCGGTGATTAGCCGTAAACGAGGTTCCTCCAGAGACAGAAACCCTGAAAGTGGAGGCAGGTGTTGCTCATTTCCGGCTAACGAGCTCCATCACACTGCAACAGGGCAGTACTTTGTTCTGAGCTTTATTTATTTTAAACTTAAAAAAAAACTTTATTGCCAGTACATAACTTACAGGCAAACATAACCACACAATTCAACAATGACAAAAACAGTCAAACAAAACCATAAACAAATAGTAAAAGACAAACAAAGATACAATCAGATGGACTGAGAATAAAAAAGATTAAATAATAAATACTTTTTTTTTTTAAAACACCTGGATTTGTTCTGACCTTTTTTTTTTTTTTAAACTTTATTGCCAGTACATAACTTACAGGCAAACATAACCACACAATTCAACAATGACAAAAACAGGAAAACAAATCCATAAACAAATAACAGAAGACAAACAAAGATACAATCAGATGGACTGAGAAAAAAGAAAATTAAATAATAAATAAAACATTTTTAAAAAACACCTGGATTTGTTCTGACCTTCTTATTTTTTTTTAACTTTATTGCCAGTACGTAACTTACAGGCAAACATAACCACACAATTCAATAACGACAAAAATAGTCAAACAAAACCATAAACAAATAACAGAAGACAAACAAAGATATTATTAGCTGAACTGAAAAAAAAGAAAATTAAAAAATGAAATAAAAATAAATAAAACACTTTGATTGTAGATCACATAATATTTATAGATTTGTTTTCTGCTCACGTCTGAGGGCTGGACACCTTTTTTGAGGTTCTACTTTTCCTTTCAATCATTTAAAACTAAACAAACAGGTGCTGTAGTTTAATTTTGTTCGTGTCCAGGAAATAAATCACAGGAAATGTGATCACTAAGTACTCTAACCAGAGTCCAGTTCAGGGAAACCACTGGAAACCGGTCAGAACCAAAGTCTATCACACTCATTAGGATTTGGACTTCTACCGGGGTCTATCCCTCATTTCAAGAAAGGAAAGTACGCAATATCCTCCCCGATCTTTTAAAGTAACATACCTGAAGACGGAAAAGCGTTCTCAGGCCTTATTGGAGACTCCTGTGAGCTGGATGTGGTTTTCTCTTATCTGAGAATACTCAGAGAGGCGCGTCCCACTCACCCTGAAATTATCATAAAAAAAACAGAGCTGGATTATAATAAATATGATTTAACCATAAAGGAGCTGCGTTTTTAAATTCTGAGTGGATTAAGCTTTGCAACGCATAGAATATTAATTTAATATTGATATTAATTAACTTTTTTGCTTAAT